TGTGTGTCTGTGTTTTGGGTTTATATCCTGTTTGTTTCTTGTCTTGTGTTCAGTCTGCCTGTTTGTTGTTCTCTGTTTCTCTCTAGCGTATTTTAGTCATGCCTGCTGATTGTTCGTTACTTCTGCCTGCCTTATTGTATTTTTGGTTATGGTCTGTGTCTGCTTGTGTTTATGATTATTTTGGTATATTCATTAGTCTGACCTGTTCCATTTTAGTTTCACGGTTTTTCTTGCTGTTCCAGTTTTGTTGGACTTGTTTGAACTCTGCCAATCTCAGTAAGTGTGTATGCTTTTTGTTGTTAATAAATATCTGGAACTGTTCCTGCTCATCTCCTGTGTCCTGCATTTGGGTCCTCAACCTTTCATCCCCCCAATTCTGACAAGAGTAAGTGATTGTACAGGATTCTTAAGTTTTTTTAATTAACTGACAAACAAATACACCCCTACCTTCAGTGCTCCCTCAGAATCTCTGCCCCCCAGACTCCAAATTTTGGATTGAAACGTCTTCACACTTGCCTGGTCATATAACTTTTGTCTATATTTATAATCTTCAGACCTTTTCCTCTTTGTTTCTCGTCCATCTCTACTTCTTCACAGTGCCTGGAGTCCAGCACGTTCAAATGCACATAAGTATTATTAGTAAAACATACTAAAAGTATCACAAAAATACTTATAATGCAGAAAATTGCCCCTTTAAGTATTATATTACATTATTTTGGGATTCTTAATACGGAGCAGTATTTTACTGTTTATTTATTATTATTTGTTTAAAATTAAGCTAAATTAAACTTTGCATGCACTGTTGGTAACTGGTAAGCTTAATATATAACAATGCATCATCTTTTAGAAGCTAAGCAAATTTTTAATAGGCTAAGCTAATTTATAGAAACATGTTTATTCTGAAGGTTGGAACTATAGCTATCAAATGTATAATGAGCAAAACCTATCCTTTAACTTGACCAGCTCTTTCGCTCTTACTGAGTGAAATATGTGCCTGTGATTCCTACTAGTTGAGTCATATAGTCCAATTTGTTCCGAGATATTACCATCTGAGCTCACAAGAAGTCCCTCCTGTATGAGTCAATCAGAATCATACTCAATGCTTAAAATAAACACTAGTAGCTCTTAGATTTCAAGGCTGCTAAGACGAAATAGTCAGTGGGTAAACTCAAGTATCATCTTGTATCAGCAAGGTGTGAGCTTGCTCATTCAGAGCACTGAACACATCATCTACTGGAAAGGATAAGAGGCTCTGTAACAGACCGTACTGTGACTCAATGGAGCTGAGAGCAACATCAAATATTCCAGAGATACTGGAAGGCACTACAGATCAGCTCTAGTCCATCCATTATCTCGCATTGACCTGGGCAGATTTAATGAAACCTAAGGAAATGATGCGTCCTCTCTGCATTTTTGACTTGCAATTTCCTTTGAAAATTGCACCCAATTAGCCTAAGTGGAGCACTACAATAACCGTTTACTTGCATTTTGCCAAAACTATAGTCTCATGCCGATGAGCCCAGCTGGAAAGCCCAGTGTCGTTTTGTTGCTCACATGTGTCATGCCGGATATCCCAGACACCAGCAATTCAACAAAAGGTGAATTCATGAATGGGAACGTGTGGTCAAAGTACATGGATCAAAATGTGTTTGATTTTGACAAAGGAAGGGAAATAAGGTTTCCACAAACAGGATTCTGCCTCAGAAACACATAATAACAAATTAAACTTTTCAGGAGGGATGGAAAGATTGCTGTACAATGGACGCACAAATTAAAATAATGCTTTCACACATTGTGTAACACTGACATTTTTGGTTACAAGTCTCCAACTTCTGCTGCCTCACCTGTCATCAGTGTCCCACCCCGTGATAACATCTGTCAGCTGTCAAAAATATAATAACAGCAACAGCCTTTTATCAAATGTTTTTGCACTACGATCTTCTTGATAAGAATCATAGTGGTGTCTCCCTGAATAAAACGTAACACTTCAAGAGACACACTCTCAATAAGAATAAAGATGCATTTTCCCCTTGTCTATCTGCTTTTCTTCGAGGGCACTCACATTGTGTATGGCCTACATTGCCAACCCCAGCGAGGATCCAGAGCAGACAAGACATTCGTCATACTCTTCTCTGTCCTCCTTTAAGTGCACACAGACTTCACAGATTGTATGGCAGAATGACAGGGTCTCTAATAATGTTGCTGCAGAGGACTGCAGCACAGATCTTGCACCTGAGGATGCAACCTGCAGGCCATTCTGACCTCTCTAAACATGACCTCTCTAAACATGACCGCTCCCACTATTTTGGTTCTTGGCTCTGGCTGTGAAGCTTAACCTGTGTGTCCTCATAACCAGTGCAGATCCTGCTGTGCCATCACAGTCAGCAGCTGGCTTTATAGTGAGAATAACTATAAGATTGTTTTGTAATAGATCTTGTAAATCTCAATCTGTAGGTTGGATTTGCTGTTTTTAATTTGTATGGTTTCATTTTGAATCGCAGTGTTTTCTGAATTTCATAATTACAATATTATGCATGACTCCACTCTTGATCATTATTCTGTGCAATTACTTGCTGTGGATTTGCTTTCTCGTAAACTCAGGTATGTTCAGCTTGCTAGTAGTATTTTGCTGCCTGCTCTTTTACAACAACAAATCTTGAGCTTATGGTGCACCACTGCCCCCTTGTGGACTGCAGTAAAACTTTCATCCTACAGCCATATACTACCTACCTACTATACTATATTATATACTATATATATATATATAAAACTAAGCAAATGTTTGTAAAGATTTAGAATAATCAAAGCAACCACATTGATTTGATTTATGTGTTTGACAAGTGATGTATTTTTTTTAACTCAGAACTTGATGAAAATATTCCTAACAAAACTGATATCAAAATAGAATACTTTACAGTTATTTAAACAGCTATTACAATTGTGCAAGACTCAACATTCATTCATTTTACAAGTTGTCTTCTGGTTTCAGTATCTTGACATACATTATGGCCTCATGTTATATTACTATGACTATGACGTTATGATAATATGTTTATTATGTTACCATTAATGGTTGTTTATTATATCATGCTACAATAAGATAATTAACATCATGGATGGTTCATGATTAGATGCTCATTTTGATATGTTAGTTATTTTTATATATATTATGATTTGAAGCTGCAAATTATGATATGTTTTATGATCCACATGAGTGCTCAGGATACTATTTATTGGAGCATTGGATAACAGGAAATGTCTAAGTGTGGAGCTGGGAGTGCAAGGGATAATAAACTGCAGTAGCCAATTCTAGAAGGAAGTTCTGGAAGGAAAAATGAAACGGGATCAGTTTGCCTACACCAGCAAAGGTGTCTCTCTCTGTCTCTGTCTCTGTCTCTCTCTCTCTCTCTCTCTCTCTCTCTCTCTCTGCCTCCATTAGGATCGACACATGGCTCCTCACCAGTGCTGGAGAGCATCAACAGCAGCCTTGTCCCATGGGTGTTTTTTTTTCTTTCAGTCTCCCTAATTAGCATGTGCGTCATGGCAAGGCAACACATGCGCTTTCTCAGCAACAAAAGACCTGAACTAAATCCAGTTGACAGAGCCTGTATGAGACCAATCTAAAAACTAGAGTAACATCATCACATAATTGACAGAGACCCTGAGGGGAGACAGAAGTAGTAGAAACCTTGCCTTGAGGCCACACCTGTGAAACAGTCAGTGTCCTCCTTGCTGAATTACAAAGTCTCATCTGGGTAAACCCTGACACAGAGCTCATATATAACACATAAATGCTCATAAGACATCTCAGTAAAAATCTAAGTAGGTAAGCCACATGAAGTATTTTTTTTAATCAGTGAAAATTAAATATGTTCAAGATGAGAACAGAAAAATGACATGCTAATACTAAACACACTACGTGTGCATATTGGATGCACAGGGATTATAGAAAAGGATGGCCAGTGTAATAATGTGTTCATAGAACGCAAACCTGGTTAAACTTTTTACCTTTTGTCCCCATCCTTAATTTTCCCTTTTTTGAGCACTAGGCTTTTATGGCTGTCACTCCTTTGGGCCATCCCCACACCCTTAGGAGCACTGGTTAAATGCCAACTCCTGCACATCACTCTGAAGTGAGAATATGGTGTTTGGGATATTGCCTTCATATGTTCGTCAAAAGAGAATCTCGATCAAAGATAATGTCTATATTTTTGACAGAGTCTTTTGGGAGAACTGTGCTTCTACTGAAGTTGAAAGAGAGTCTGATAAGTGAGTTCCTGTGGCCTAGAATTAGCATTTAACTTTTATCTGTAGTGAAAATAAAGTTCTTTGTTGGGTTTGTGTGTGTGTGTGTGTGCGCGCGTGTGTGTGTGTGTGTGTGTGTGTTGTGCACAGAGATGAAAGATTTGGGTACTCAATGATTTCATGATCACCTGGCTTGTCTGAGGTGTCACAGCAAGAGACATTCTCATCAGTGTCTTTAGGAGTCAGCCTCCCACCAGCTAGCAATGATTCCATTGTTGTGGCCCAGAAATGCAAGCTCACACTGTAACCATTAGTACAGCATCAGACAGTGAAATTAATCTGCTATAAATGGAAGGGAATTTGTTGTTGTTTGCTCATTATTTTCCCATTTCGCAGAAACATATGTTAGAGATCACTAGAGCCAACTAAGTTTTGGCTCTATTAATCAACAGGGAACCATTAAACTGGGTATTACTATGAGTGCTGATAAATGCAGGTGAGTTCTGTCTAGCTCTGGGCTTTCTGTACGTTTAGCTCATTTTTTCTAGGAAATGCATGTTGCAAAAAGCTTTCTGATGTCTTCAAATGAAGTATCAAAACGTCCAAAAATAAAACGTTAAAAATGCGTTCTGCAAGTGTTTATTTACTGTATATTCTCCTTTAAATGTATTCTTTATTGTTACATTGGTACATAAAGAGAAATATTACAGTCTTCAAGGATTTTACTTTGAAAAGAATAAACGGAACGGAAGTAGTTTTCATTCATTCCGGCTGACCTCAAGAGTATAATTCGTCTGTCTCCTACATTTGCTGAATTTTCGTTATATTAATAGCAAAGTAACTCTTTCTCGTCGTCCAGATATCCGGCTGTGTATTTAATCTGACCCATTAAAGTGGTGTTCTATTTGACAACGACCTGTTATTCTTACATATTAACGTTAACGTTAATATCCTCCGATCTGTAAGTGAAACTAACGTTAACTTCTCTGGCTAATTTTGCTAGGCTAACTTCTGCATGGCACCTCTCCGGGTCCTGTGCATTCATGGTTACCGTCAAAACGGCAACTCGTTCCGTGACAAGACGGGAGCTCTGCGGAAACTGTTGAAGAAACAAGTGGAGCTTGTTTACCTCAGTGCACCGCTCAGTGTGCAGCAAGCCAGCAGTGAAGGTGGGTCACCGTCCACGCCTGCCTCCGAACACAACACACCGACGGGGAGATCAACAAGTTTCATGTTATTGAAAGTATGAGGCGGAAATGAGAAGCTTGCTTTCACTTTGTAGATGGCTTTGGCTTTATTCTACAATGACTTCTCAATAAGGAATATGGATGTTGTTACACATGCACAATAAAACTAGATGAAGTAAAGAAAGTAAATAGGCTAGCTAATTGACTACTTGAATGGATAAAAACAAATTTAGTAAAGTTGGTAAAAGAAAACTCAAATATGATATTTTTCTAATTCTTTAGTGTCTTTTAATTAAACTTATATGACACAACAGTATTGTATTCTTCAACTTGATCACCTGTCATACATTAAGTACATGACATGAAAAATAATGATGCAGATATATATAAAATTATGACTACCACAATTACTGTAATGTGTCCTTACATGAGTAGGCTGCATTATAACATGGGAGGCACAAAAGGTGAAAATTACTATTTGGGCTCAACCTGTCAACTTAAAGATACTAATGTAACATATTATAGTTTGATATAATTTTGTTTCCATAGCAGCTAAACTTTTTTAACCTTAAAAGTTTATGGGAACAGCAAGATAATTTATTAACTGAATATCAATTTCCTTACCTTAAATTGTCTGTGGTCTGAAAAGTCATTAGGTTGAAACAGGAAACTGCACTTGCACAGATTTACATTCTACGAAATATTAAGAATACTGAATATTAAAACTACAAAAACATTATGGGAAAAAAATTGACCTGCTTTCATGCACTATTAAAAAAATCCAGATTGTAATATATACAGTAAATATTTGTATTTATGTCCTAATGTAAATATTAATTTTCAGAGTCCTCCCTTTTGAATTTAGCACAGTAGAATTACCACTTTCTTTTTCTGTCTGTTCAGAAGCTCTAGAGAAGGAGAATGGTTCAGGTCCTGGACCTGGAGGCGACGAGGAGCCCAAGGGTTGGTGGTTTTCTGACGTCCAAGCTCGGAGTTTCAGCGCTCACCAGCAGTGTGAGGAAAGCCTGGGGCTCAGCGAGAGCGTGACAGTTGTGAGAGAAGCAGTGAAGGTTCAAGGTCCGTTTGACGGGATTCTGGGCTTTAGTCAGGGAGCAGCTTTTGTGGCCATGCTGTGCTGGCTTCAGGAGCAAAAACTGGAGCCAGAGTTCAGCTTCCGCTTTGCCATCCTTGTTGCTGGTTTCCGCAGCGCGTGTAAAGAACATGAAAAATTCTACAGTGCTCCCCTCCAGATCCCCTCTCTGCATGTGTTTGGACTGGAGGACAGAGTCATCCCTGACAACATGAGCCGGGAGCTCCTGCCCTCCTTCCAAGACCCTCAGGTCCTGATGCATCCTGGTGGCCATTTTGTTCCTGCCGCGTCTGCTCACAGACAAACCTACCAGGACTTTCTCAAGAGGTTCCAGTGAGAACGAATGTCAGGTACTGGATAAGTGAAGAGATACAATCCGTGAATAAGGCTCACGTGCTGAAATATGGCCTGGGAATTATGTTTATTTAATGTTCAAAAAAATATTGTGGTAACATCATTGATTCCAGAGTCATGGCCTTTGTGCTCTGGAAGATGTTTTTTTTCCCATCCAAAACAGTACAGTGACTGCTGTCCTTCTCAGGGAAGATGTCTTGTAAAAGACAATAAATCAAGTGACAGTTGTTTATTTAATGTGTTCTGGTCTCTGTTTCTTTTCTTTTTTGAGCTGTGTAATAGCTTTAACGCTACTATAATGTGTAATTAATAACATTCTTTAGTGGCAGAACAAGATGGGTTTTTCAATGTTCGAGGCCAATGCCAATATTTAAAGAGCAGGGCGGCCGATGTTCAATAAATAATGCTGATATTGTCTATGAAGATTCTCAGTCATCCAGGTCATAGTTATCCAACGAAGGTTAAAATCAAGGGCAACTGGTCTTGGTTGAAGATACTGGAAGACGTTTCGTCCCTCATCCAAAGGACTTCTTCAGTTCTGACTGACTGGCAGGGAAACTCAGCTATTTAACCTCAGTGGGGTCGTTATCCCAGGTCATCGTGGACGACACCTGGGTCAAAATTAAAAGCCAGGAAGTGCAAGCCTTCACAGAACACATCAACTCTGTGGACAGTAACATCAAGTTCACACGAGAAGATGTTCACAACAACAGTTTGGCCTTCCTGGACTGCGCTGTACACATTGAAGAGGACAGGAGCCTGCAGATTGGTGTTTACAGAAAACACACACACACAGACCAATACCTACTCTTCGATTCACACCACCCACTGGAGCACAAGCTAGGGGTCATCAGAACACTGCACCACAGAGCAGAAAACATACCAACAAGCGCCCAAGCCAGAGAGAAGGAACAGAACCACCTGAAGGGGGCACTTACAGCCTGTGGAGACCCTAAATGGACCTTTGTGAAAACAGCTACAAGATCCAAGAAGAACAAAACTACAGGGCAGGAGGAAAAGAAGGTCAAACGCAACAACATTGTGATTCCATACGTGTCTGGAGTATCAGAGAAACAAAGGAGGATTTTCAACAAACACAACATCCCTGTGTTTTTTAAACCCAAGAACACACTAAGACAGATGCTGGTCCGCCCCAAAGACCGCACACCCAAACACAAGAAAAGCAATCTAGTGTATGCGGTCCAATGCAGTGAGGAATGCACAGACCAGTATATTGGGGAGACTAAACAACCACTACACAAACGCATGGCTCAACACAGAAGGGCCAACTCCTCAGGTCAAGACTCTGCTGTCTACTTACATTTGAAGGACAGAGGACACTCGTTTGAGGACCACCAGGTGCACATTATAGACAGAGAAGATGGATGGTTTGAAAGAGGTGTCAAGGAAGCCATCTACACCAGGGTCGAGAAGCCGTCATTGAACAGAGGAGGGGGTCTACGCCACCACTTATCACAATGCTGTCCTTTCATCACTTCCCAGGAAACTCAACAAACGTAACCTATTGGCCTCAGGTGAAGATACCAACGATGGTCGTTCAGTCTTGGCCACAGGTAGTCTTAACGACTGTAACGACTGTCGTCACAGCAACAAGGAACACTAACGAACCAGCGGTATCGATGACCCGGGATAACGACCCCACTGAGGTTAAATAGCTGAGTTTCCCTGCCAGTCAGTCAGAACTGAAGAAGTCCTTTGGATGACGGACGAAACGTCTTCCAGTATCTTCAACCAAGTCCAGTTGCCCTTGATTTTAACCTTTGTTGGATAATGCTGATGTTAAAACAAAGAAGTCAAGTATAATTCCATTATTCGATGCAGAGTACAATCTAATATACATTAACAGTAATGTGTTGCTTTAGATATAATTTTATTAATTAATGAAAAGGAAAAATACACTGGGTTATGTTGTAGATCTCACTGACTGGTGGTCAGTAAAGTGTTATTTACATCTGTGCTTTTCCCACACATCTGTTGTGAAAATGACAAATTTAAACCAAACCTTTTAACCCTTGCATCTTCTCCCACATGGGCTTGGGGATTAATAACTAAATAACCGATAGTGTCATGAAGGTTTCAGCTCCAGCTGGTATATGAAAAATATATATGGAATTTTTTTCTGAACAGAGAATCGATCGAGATAATGAGATAAAGGCCTCAGTATGCTTCCAACAAAGTGTCTCTACCTGTGTCTGAACGCTCCCGCTGGAAGGCAGGACTGAAAGCCTGCTGTCATAGCCTCCTCCCGGCTGCATCCCTCTGTAACTCGCTCTCTCTTTCTTTTGCGTTCCTCTCTGCCCTCGCACAAGAAATCGTACAAATCTCCTCGAAGGCATTCATGGTGTTTCACACAATTGTTCTGCCCTGTGTGAAGATACGGAAAAGGAGAGCTGCCTAAAGTTATCCTCCTGTCAGAAAGGGCATTTCAGACACTGTAATACGATCCAACCAGCGCTTTGTTTGAAGTGTACTGAGGCCTTAAGACAGACTGGCAGATGGGAACAATCAGGATATTTGTTTCATTTGTTTGGAAAGTAGATGAACATTAAGAATGATCATAAATCGCCATTTTACAGGATGCAAATGTATTTACAGTTCTATCCCTGCAGTAATCTCAGTAGTCAAAGCTAGTAAGTGTTGTCCCTTTTATAAAAACAACACTATGCCAGGCGCAGACTGACATTTTTAGGTTCTGGGAACATTCCGCCATGATTGTGGAATGTTATGACAAAAATTTTATATCAGAGCCACAGTGGAAACCTTGATCTAATAAGTTTTTTAGTAACAAAGAGTTACTCAAATTGTCTGCCCCAAAGTGTATACAAATGAAGGTACATGAGGAGGGGGGGAAACAAACTTAAACATGATAATAATAATGATAATAAACAATAGTTGAGTCATCTTTACCATCATTATGTGGTTGCTGAGTTATTTTTCGCCATTATATTTGCGTTTGAAATTATGGCAGCATCAGCTGTGAGGAGTAATGAAGGGTTGCTCTGCCCTTCTGAGGTGGTGTATCTCAGTGACCGGTTTAATGTGTTCCCTCATATGCGGTTTGCATAGACAGGTTTACACACGCTCAAATGCACAGGGTTCAAGGACATGTTGTTCTTTTATAGTTGAAAGCATGTGCACCTCGGACTGCACTCTTTCGATTGTTTCCAGATGTGGGCTCTCTCCTCTCTACCTCTCTCTCTCCCTTTTTGCTTTCATCTCCCACTGGCCTCTACCATCCTCCTCCCTTCCACATCCTGTGTGTCATCAGCTTTTGGGTGCAACATACCCTATCAAATGTCTGCTACATTAATGACATGGACAAGAGTAGTTTTGTTTATCTGCACATCTCAAAATCCAAACTACATACATGCATACATACTGTGTGCTGTTGTGGGTGGTTATTTGCCCTGCTGAGATGAAATTCCACAGTGAAACAGCTTCTATTCAGCTTATATCAATTTCCTGTCTTGTAAACGCACAGTCTCGCTTACCTAAACAATCCTGTCATAATGTTTATAACATGTCACCTGTTTCGACGTCTAAGTGAGCTGCAGCTGCCGCTCACATATCATGGCTATGTGGCCTCGTTTCGCCATGATGGGCTCTCAAATTCATTCTCTCCTGTGCTCCCCCGTGGCCCTTGTGTCCCTCCAAGACCTCACAGCAGACACACACAACACATGGTTTTGATAACGACTAGAGACAAACGGAGCAAGTGAGTGAGCGAGGGAAACAGTGAAAGAAAAACACAGAGGGTCACTCTTGCCAGTAAGTTTTACAACAGAGCCGTGACTCTCTTCTCAGGAATCCGTTCCCCCTGTTGCACAACAACCGGGAAATAATGGAATCAGAGACAGGGACAGATGAGGGTGGAGTTATCTTCCCACCCTCCCTCACTCGCTGCCTCTCTCCCACCCTGCCTCTCTCTGGCTGCTGCAGTTAAAGAGGGAGAGTGAGGGCACATTGAAGTTTTTGCCGCGTTTGAATGATCACTTTTTCCCTCCCCCTCCCCCCCCGGTGGAGTGTGGGGAATGGAGCAGGGGGCAGAAGGGTGTGTCGGAGCACAGATGGACTCTATTTTGATTATGGAGCGTTTGTTGTTATGGGAGACAGAAGGAGGGGAGGGGCCACGTGGTGCTGTGTCTATATAAGACTTGCACTTAAACTCCAAAGAGCCTGGTCATCCCATGGCCCGGGCTCGTCCAGACACTGACAAACTTGACCAACCCTGCCTTGTTACTCCAGCTTCCACTGCTGAGAGCTCTCACTGGAATACTTGGAAGACTTGAGATTACCTGGCCTTCAACTTTTGGATTAACATACTTCTTTTGTTGTTGCAACTATTCACCATTATTTCGATGTTTGCCATCATTGTAACCTGCAATGTTCTGATCCCAACAAAGAGGCGATGCTGAAGACAGAGGGGCTGTTGCGTAGTTTGGATTTTTAACCTGATCTTTCACAATTCTGTGAAAAGATGGCTACTGACCTGATATTATCAATTAATTTAAGCCTGCGCATGTCTGTATGTGTTCATGTGTACTTGCACTGTTAAACTGGTGTGCTGGTGCGGGTGGATGTGATGTAACTTCACAGTGGATGTTTTCCAGAGGTATGGCCTGTGTCCAGTGTATCATGGGATTTAGCCATGCCTCTCTGCTTCCTGTGTTTGTTTGTGTGCGTGTTTGTGGGTTGGTTTGTGTCTGTGACTAGGTGTGAACGTGCGCTTGCATACTTTGCATAGAAAAAGACAGCAACCTCATGTTGCAAGAGCTGGTAATCTACACAGTGTGTTTGACGCGTGTGTGATGTGTGTTGACATGTCAGCGAGGGAACAGAGGGAGTATATTTAGAGTTGTCAGTCAAATTGCTATTTAAAGAAACGGAAAAGGCAGGGAAAGTGAGTTGATGTCAGATAATGACATGAAACCACACAGTGAAGAGCTCTATTCTGCAGTTTAAGCGTGGCATCCAGGCCCAAACATCGGGCTGTGGGTGTGCATGTGTGTGCTGTGCGTGGGTATGTGTCTGCATATTTTTTCCTCCATATGGGTGTGATTTGGTCATTTCTTATTCCATGCTTGCGGACTAACACACTTCTGATTTTCTTCTACCCTACTTTGTGGTTTTCTTGTTTGTGTGGACTAAGTGTACTTTGGCTGGGGCCAAAACCTGGTCTGTTTTTTTCCCCCGCCCAGCCATCAAATGTAGCATTCTTTCAATCTATCCCTCTCACTGTTTTCAGATATGCGACATATTGTCATTTATTTGTTTAATGGCTAGATGCCGTAAACAAACTGTAACAGATTTGGTCATCTTGTCTGTGTTTGGCCACTCAACCTGTTCAGTGTAGGAGTGCCTGCTTAAAACTGTCCCTTTAATACCAAATGTAAATATGTCCAAAGGTTGTGTGGATTGTTGACTGAGGAGGTACAAAGGTGAACTGAGGACAGAGCTGAAGCAGTCTGAAGTTGATGTCATCTGCAGTCGCTGGTCTGTGCTTTACTGGACTGTTTTAGAGGCCGTGCCTGGGCCCTGGCAAGCAGAGCTGTGGTTTGGCTGTCCTTATAGGTGCCTTACTGACACTACTGGGGTAAATATTAGTCATCGTGACTTTGGAGGAGGACTGTGGTAGAGTGTGGATGAAACAGGCCGAGAGAGAGAGAGAGAGAGGCATGTCTTGGCTAACATATCTAAAAAAATGTGAACACTGTTGCACAATCTTGTTTGGTTTCAGACAGTTATTAAGAGGTTTGGAGGGTGAAAAACAGGCTTTGCAGTAATTCCATCAAGAGCCTTTGCCGTGTATCTGTAGCTCAATGATCATTCAAAATTTTATTAACAATAGCAAAATAACTACTGAAAGTAATGACCATAATAAAAGTCAAGCAGCTTTGATGGGTGTTCAGTAACCCCACTGGGACCTAATGTGGGAAGGTGGTGTGGTAGGACTCGAGACCGGTGTTAACAGCTTTACTTTGATTGGATGTAAAACTTATTGGTTTAAATGCAACCAATAACGCTATTTTAAAATGTGTTATTCCCGTTAACAACTGACACCCCTCCCCACAAAGCTTACGTGGATTGTATGTGGGTGTTTTAATGGGAATGTGGATCTTTCAGATCAGTTTGAGAAGTACCTATGATCTCGTTCCACATTTTATTTTGTGTCATGTAATGTGGGGAACTGGTTTTGGTCTTGACTCGGTCTCGCCCTCCATCGGTCTTGGTCTGAGTTTGGGTGATCTAGACTACAGCACTATGGGAAGGTTTATTTAAGTTAATTTTGATAAATAGTAGAGCTCTACAGTGGCTAATCAGTGGAATGGTCTCTTAAATTGTACTGGACCTGTTGTGATACTTGTGCTTTACTTCTCAGCCCTGAACAGTAAGAGTTTATGTGCTGCTGTTTTTCTGTCAGCACATGAGCTTTTACGGTGCAGGGAGGAAGAGGATAAACAACTGTTCATCCAGCTGATCTTAGAGTAAAATACTTTTCTCTCCATAAACTTCTGTAAATCCTCAGTTAGCATGCTTTGTAAAAAGTAAGGTGACAAAGTTATGTGCCTCAAAGGATTGTCATCTTAGGGATTAAAAAAAATGCATGCAGTCCACATGGTAAAGCAGTTTACATAGATTTTTTTAAGTTAAAAATTAAACTAATTTCTCCATGGTGCAGCCACACTCTATGTGCTGTGCACTCTTTTTGCCTGCATCACTATACTTTTTACTCTACTTCTTTTTACTAACTTTGAAAAACTCCAATCATCTATGATATCTGAGAGTTTGAACAGCTGCCACGCATGAGAAGTCTACCTTTTTTGTCATGCTGGAATCTCGAGTTGCTCCAATAGGTATTTGTCTTGTTTTAAAACATGTTTTCTACTCAGACCTCAAATAACACCCCTATCTGTTGTGTCAGTTACAAACTGTAACTACAAACAAAAGGCAGCTATCTTAGCAAGGATCCACAAAACACTATGGCACATGTTTTCATTTATTTAATTTATTTGATTAAATCAGGCAGGTTTTGCTCCAAAATGTTTCAGCTTTGAAAAAGTTTACTACCTCTGTTATAAGCAATTCTCACCTGTAGAGGGCAGAATAACTATGGTTATGATTGAGTGCTAGAGGACGCATGGCACAAGGACTAGTCCATTCCGTGTGTGTGTGTGTGTGTGTGTGTGTGTGTGTGTGTGTGTGTGTGTGTGTGTGTGTGTGTGTGTGTGTGTGTGTGTGTGTGTGTGTGTGTGTGTGTTGTGTGTGTGTGTGTGTGTGTGTGTGTGTTGTGAGCATACTGTACGTGTATATCTGTGCATGCATACATGTGGATTAGCTCACCTCTGTAGGTCCCAGTGTGTGGTTTGTGTTTGTGCCTGCAGGTTATAGCGCTACCTACTGGGAATTCCTGGCTGTGCTGCTTTGAAGTGAGGCCGCTCTTGTCTGATAAACAGAGAGCGGAACAGGTGTTGGAGCTGGCTGACTCATCCGTTCAGCATGTGCTATTTGCATTCATTACCGTAGTCAGTGCTCAAACCATAAAGAAACACATTACACCTAATAAAATGAAAGAAAGTGAAAAGCAACATGTGTCTGAATGTGTCATTGCATTCTTGATTGCTAAACTTTGGGTGGCTCATCAGATAAATTACGTTATGTGTGTTATTGTAATATTACAAAGAAATACAACACTATATAAAATACATTTTAGTATCTTATAAAGGAACTCACACAGATATTTGCAGCCATGAAAAAGTCAAACTGACAACTCTGCCAGTATACAGGTAGAGTGTACAACCTCTGACCTACTTTCCAAGAGAATTTCAACAGATACATCTAATGCACACTTAATTATGAGCTACAACTCAACTTTTCCCTTTCTTTTTTTCTTTTCCTAGTGACACCTGCCCCTAACGACCATGGCTGTAGACTGTTACCATGGTGCTGCTGCTAGAGTAACAATCTAAAGCCACGGTCGCCATGGAGACAGCAGGGGGGATGAGGAGGAGCTGGAGTTGGCATGGGAACAGGAATTGGCGAGGTCTCATTGGTGTTAGTGTGGATGTTACGCACATACAAGGTGTGGGACTCCCCCAATGCAAGCCCACACAGGTCCTTTCTGAGTAGGAGAAAAGAGACAGAGAGAGAGAAAAAGAGACATCTCTAACATACATCATCACATCAACTATTTCAAAAGCACCGAACAGTATTTCCATGGTGTTTTTGTTTCCTTGACATCGACACGGCATGGTCTCTTCATGTCCATGTTGCCTTCACTGTAGTGTGTTTGGTGCATTGCCAGGCTTCAGTAGCCATGACTGTAGACTGTTACTGTACTGTGACACTGTATAAGCAGTAAGCAGTCTAAAGCCAAGGTGCTGATGCTCTGGCCAGGTTAGGAGGATAGGGAAGAGATGGTAAGAAGGACAACCAACACCTCTTTTGGAGACCTGCATCAGCAAAAAAAAAAAAAAAAAAGAGGGGATATAGATATTAAATTACTGGAAACACAATTTCCAGGAGGAGGATGCTGATTAGTGCAGTGCTTGTTGACTAGGGGCATCCCAGTGACTTAAAAAGTTCTCATGGGAAAACTTTGCTGCAACGATAAGATGCTGCTACTACTTTAACCATCATGGTAATGTTTTCTTCAGTTAGGGCTTTAGGTGTAGTTCTAGCACCATCTCTGCACCATTATCTGTGACAACATCGTGTTGCTGACTTGTCCAGAAATGTTTGACTACAAACTGACTTTTTTTTATAAAAAAGAAACAATGTATCCAGGTGATCAATTAATCATCTATGCATTTGACTGATCAGCCAGTCAATCAGTCAAGCGAATTTTAAAAACTGTAAGGTAAAATTAATGAAATGTCTACAGATATTCTCAGTCATCCAGCTCATATTTTTATCTGAGAGCTTAGAAAACTTTTTACAAAAAAAATAATCTTGGCAAGATTGGCACAAGGCATCATCCACCCACTGTTTTTCCTGCCCCTGACCTAGTTAGTGTTTATATGCATGCAAGTGTGTGCGAGATAGTGAGAGAGAGCATAGAGCAAGTGAGGCAGAGGGACAACTAGAGAGAAGGAGAGACAGATCTAGTAAGCTGTGTTTGACTATTTTGATGTAATGAAACTGTCACATCTCCCAGAGGAGAATAAGAATCTTTTGGGGGGATATCCTCCAATACTGTAAACCAACAACTCTTCCATCAGGTTGTTGGTTTATTGAATATCTGAATGATTATTGCTTTGGCTGCCATATCTTTATGCAGTCCCAAACAAGGCATTGTTGAATATTTCATTTTTCAGGATATTGACCATTTAGCACCTAATTTGCTAGAACTTTAAACAACTTCAAAACTAGAAAAATAAACTTTCTCTCCCCTTCTTACCCTCAAAAACCTTAAGCTGTTGTGCTTTTGGCCCTTTAACTTGGACATTTAAGTTGGACAAATTCAGGGGAAATTTAACAGCTATGCAACCATGTTAGTATGCTATAGGCGACTAAAACCAGTCAAACTTTAAGAACTATGAAAATGATACAACAACTGCAAAGCCTGTGTAGCAAGGTGATATATATAGTGTATTTCTTTGCATAAGCAAAGCCGCTCTTGTTAGTGAGTTTGTCTCTGCAACAGGTTCCGTTTCATCCCGGTTTCAGCACTAAGGCGCTGGGACAGCGACACAGCAGCGCTGTGGCTCGGCGCTGTCCGCGGTGCTGAACTGGACGACGGCGACAGCAGAGAGGACACATTGTAAAGAGTCAAACGTCCAGAATCTTAGTCTACTGAGACATCATAAGGATACTTTAAAAATCTAACTCTAAACGTCTATCTAGCTTCCTTTATGCCTACTTTACTATAGCACCCTAGTTTCAACGTAACCATGTCTGACGTGGACCACAGTCTCTGCAGTCTCCGCTCTCATTAGCGAATAGATGTTGGTCAGGTGACGAGCACCGTCACGCCTCTCAGTGCTCTACAAGTCACATGCCCGAGGGTACGGCCATGTGACGTCACGTCGCGAGCCAACCAATAGGCTCTCGCTTCATTCTGCCGCCTGGCTTATCAGAGCGCGTGGGCAGTGGCTTGGTCTGGCTCGGTTTCCATGGCACCGGGGAGAAACTGCTTCGACCGTGTAGGTTGACTTGACGTGCACGCGGGTCCCTCCAGTGACATATGCACGGAATCATAAAAAGTGAGCCGTGAACCTGAGCTTGGACTTCACTCTTGACTTTGTATGACTTTTAAGCAAGGCATTTAAGCATTAGACTGCTGCACCACAGCATTCAGTACAATGGTTAACTAGATTGATTGCTTTATCATACACAATTAAGTTGTAGCCTACATAGGCTATATCTACATATCTATGATAATATTACAAGGTAGTGTAATAATATTTCAGGTGGCTTTGCTTTACTAACTCATTAACATTGTCTGATCATGACAAGTTGTGAATGAACAAGGGGTTTCATTGACTCCATACACCCACTCCTCCCTCGTGTTGCCCGTGCACGAGCCTCTCACATTGCGCATTCACGCCCCCGCACGCCAGAGGATCACACTGCAGTGTGCGCGCGCGTGTGCTCGCGATGCCTTTAAAAGGGTTATAGTAGGTGAATGCGTATCATCTGCAATGTGCGCAAGAATGACGCATGTCTGACTTCACTGGCTGACGACGTCACAAAACTGAGAAAGGGGGGGAGAAAAAAGTTAAAGGAAACGCCGGCCGGAAGTGCATAGAGGGAGGAGGAGGAGGGGGAGAGGCGGAGGCGAGGAGTGTATCGCCACACCGGAAGAAAGTGATGCCTATAATGTCATCACTATCACCGGAAACCTCCCGGTGCCACGCGCTCCCGAGAATGTAGAGGGGTTCGTGAGGAACACACCCACACCTCCACACTCCCTGTCTCCCCCTCGACACGCACACACACTCATACAAAAATCTGCGTACACACACACACACACACACACACGCACACACACACACACACACACACACATACACACACACAGGAGACGTGTCTGTGCACCTGTCAGTGTACATTGCACGGTGGCATTTGCACATTTTAGATGGACAACACAGAATCCGGTGCTGCCTGAGTGGCAACCAAAACAGCGTCTACCTGTTTCCTTCTGAAGCAGTTGCGACCTGCCTGACAGGTGAACATAAATAACTAACATGGTGATTTGTAGCCTATGTGTTTAAATTGATAATTGGAATAGAGTGACCCAGACTCTGAAAGAAAAGACACATTTCGAAGGCGATTTGTGTCTGCAGTTTGTATTTATCTGTGACATATCAGAGCTTCAGGTTGCAGGCTGAATGCTGCCCACATGGGATAGAAAATGAGTCACACTGCAGCAACTTCCAACCGGAGAGTCAAGATGAGAATAGTGTCAGTTAAAGCAGACTACGGGGCTTCTTAAGGGGGGTGGCCCGCCCAATACACACCAGGTTGGATTTCTTTTCTCTCGCGATTCAGATAAAATAACACAAAATCTGGTATGTAGAGATAGCAGTTTAACTTACCTCAGTCAAAGTCCCCCTGTGCGACCATGGCTGCGGCTCCTTGCGGTAGAAATATGTCTTTCATATCTCTAAACTCGCTGTCTTCGTCAACATGAAACTGTCAGGGCAAATCTGTGCCATGCTGTCTTCGATCACAGACGCTGTCGTCCCTCTTCTCCAAAGTCGCTTCCCATACAGACCGGGCTCTCCCATCAACCGTAGGCTTTTTATAGAGATCCCGTAGTAACTAGTAGAGGGGAGGGGGTGAGGGAGGAAAAGGGAGAGCTCATTCAAAGATTCACCTACACATGTACGTGCGTATCCCACGTCATTGAACGGAGTGCAGCTATTTATAAAGGGGAGGAAAAGTATAGCCTGAATCACTGTGCACGAGGATGAAAATAGCATGCTTGTTGTTTGTGCGCTCTTTACACCGAGACGTCAAATATTAAAAGCTCTAGCGGGACAATTCCTGTAATATAAAGACATTTAGATTCTCCGAGGTACTCATTAGTGAGTTGTATCATATTTCCATCTCAACATATTCCTATAATAGCCCATTTACTATACATAGGCCTAATTATCTGTTGTTAAATTTCGCAAAGTATGCATTTTTTTGGCAAGAAAACATGATGTCAGAGGATTTAGCCTATTGTTGCTTCAGTGATAATATTGTGTTTAGTTCAAGTGGACACTTTGAGGCATCAATAAATATGTAAGTATGTATGTACGAAAGTATGTTCAAAAATCAATCTGATCATCCTAAAACGAGTCTACAGTTTCAGCTCTCTCGATGCAGTATATTTATTGGAGAATATTAAAAGCGACTTATTGTTTCGAGAGAGAAAAAAATAGCTGAACGCAAGCATCCAAATCTGACACCTGTAGTCGCATATGTTCAAAAAGTGTTTTACCAAGTGATCATAGCGATGAGCAAATCGCGATGTATAGATTAGGTGATGAATCACTGCAGCTGCCTGCATGGAGTGACTGAGAATGTTTGCTGCAGTGCACTGCTTTTTGTGGCTTATATTGATGTAATTTAAAAATATAAAGGCTATATAAAATGA